TGTGCCAGGCCCTGGATTCAGTGCTTTACCTGAATTATTATTATTTCACTCAATCCTCTCCACAAGTTGAGATACTTTCAGCATCTATTTTATCATGACGAAATCCAGACTCAGAGACTCGATGTAAGTTGCCTGATTGTAGAGTTAATAAAGGAAGGGCTGGAAGTCAAACCCATGTGTCTCTAATAACACAGCTATGGCTTCTAATGTTAGGCTCTGCTCCCTTCTAGAGGGTAGAATAGGTGATGCATTCCCATTAGGACCAGCTAGATCTTATTATGGGTAATAAACAGTCCCAAAGTTTTAGTGGCTCTTATTAAAGAAGGTATCTTTCCTGTTCATACCTCCTGTTCACCTGTGTTCTACTGAGACCAGGATAATGGAGAGACCACCCATGTAGGTACTGCTGGGTGTTATTAGAGATGGACATAGTGAGCAGCCAGTCTCCGGGTGTCCAGACTCTTTTGTTAGGGGTGACAGGATTCACTCCCAGCACATTTCATTGGTCAGAGCACAACACAGGCTGAAGTCAAACTGAGGTGGTCAGGAGGAGAACCTGACATACTTCCTCCATGGGGCCCATTAACATGACCTCGTGGTGCCCGCCTCTTGTAGGGGACTGTGCAGGGCCAAGGAGAGGAGTGGGGATGGGTAGGAAATGACAGTGGAAGTCCGTCAGGATGGGTCCCTGTCTCCTCATCCAGGTGGACTTTGTCCCCTGGTTGCCCTAAACCACTGACTTTCAACCTTCCGGCCCTTTAAATACAGTTAAATACAGTTCCTCATGTTGTGCCCAACCATAACATTATTTTCGTTGCTATTTCATAACTGTAATGTTGCTACTGTTATGAATCATAATGTAAATATCTGATATGCAGGATGGTCTTTGAAAGGGTCGCTAGACCGCCAAAGGATCATGACCCACAGGTTGAGAACCGCTGCCCTAAACCATCACTGGCAAGTTCCAAAGCAGTGAACCTCAGAAAAGGAGTTTGGTCAGATGGCATTGGCAGCGAACTCAGAACCCACTTCTGAGTGTGACCTGGGTAAACCCCTGGCTGCCTCGGGTCCCACACTCGGTGGAGGTGAAGACTCACGAGTTAAGAGTGTTGACTGGGAAGGGCACAGGCTGGAAGCCTCCAGCATCACGTGCTTTTACATGAACATCAGGCCCTCCCTGCCTCCAAGGCCCTGTGTCATTTGCGTTGCCCAGGTGAGGGCCCCAGAAGGTGGGGCTGATGGTGAAAATGCTGCCATTAACATCAATGGTAACCCTGTGGCTTCCATTCGTTCTGTGCAGGAATCTGTGCAAAATACAGTCCCTCCACAGTTCTCCCCAACACAGTGAAGAGATCTCTGGGCCTAATTCTCCCTCCTGGTCCCAGTGTCCTATGTGGCCAGCAACTCCCAGTTGACCAGGTCCCAGCGGTCTAGGAGTGATGCTCTGGTAGAACTGGGCACCTTCCTCCCTGAGAAGTCAGCCGTGCTTTCACATGGGCAAGGGACACCTTCTCCAGGGATGTTCACTTCCTCATTCCTAGTGGGGGGTTAGGAGCCTGGAAGTCTTTCCCCTCAGGTCCCCGCACATGCACGCACCCACTCATTCCTTCCCAAGGCACCTGGATCTCCAGCTCCTCCAAGAAGCCTAGTGTCCTTCACAAACATTCCCCATGCACACTCTCTAACTCCAGTTTGCCATCAGAATCTTCCCTAATTCCTCCCCTTCCCACAGCCTGGGGTTCTATGAACTGACCTTTCATTTCATCCATTCCTGAGGCCTGAGAGGGGCCCCACTAAGGGACAACAGAGGATGGAAGAGAAAGGATAGAAGGGGCCCCTTCCTGACCGCTCCAAAGACTGCCTAGGCAGTTGCCTGTGTTTGGAGTGCACAGACTCACAGGGAAACATACCGACACAACAAGCACAGAAACAAGCAGGTACAGGACACCCCCAGGCGTAGCTGGGCACTCAGGTGCAGGGCTTATGGCCAGGCTCACACAGACACACATTGCAGACACAGGGAACACCTTGAGGAGAGCACACACACACACACACACACACACACACACACAGACACACACACACACACACACACACACAATGCAAACATGCGCGCACACACCTGAGCAGACATACACAGACATAGAACACAGACAAAGAGAACACAATACACACATCAGGAACACCCAAAGGGACAGCCAATTCACACATACAACCAACCAACAACATGCAAAACAAACACTCCCCCAAATGCGGAGTCATACTAATTCAAGGTCTTGAAGGAAACGTGAAGATTAAAAGTGATGCCCTGGCCATTCGGCTCAATATCTTGCAGCTTCATTTCATTCGCTCACTTCAATCAAAGGCATGTTGGGTTCCCGGTGAGGGCGCAGACCTAGGTTGTGGGTTGATCTACTCTCTGGCATTTATGGAAGGCAACAGGTCCATGTTTCCTTGCACATGTATGTTCCTTTTATTTCTCTGTGCCCTCCCTTCCTCTCTCTCTCAAAGCAATATCCTCAGATGAGGATTACAATTTTAAAAAAGAATTAAGGTGCCCGACCTGGTTTGGCTCATTGGATAGAGCGTCAGCATGTGGACTGAGGGGTCCCAGGTTCGATTCTGGTCAAGGGCACATGCACAGGTTGTGGGCTCAATACCCAGTAGGGGACGTGCAAGAGGCAGCTGATCAAAGATTCTCTCTCATCATTGATGTTTCTATCTCTCTCTCTACCTCTCCTTTCCTCTTTGAAATTAATAAAAATATATTTATTTAAAAAAGAATTAAGGGGTTGATCCCTAACCGGTTTGACTGGGTGGACAGAGCTTCGGCCTGGGGACTGACAGGTCCTAGGATTGATTCCAAGCCAGGGCACATGCCTAGGTTACGGGTTTGATCCCCTATAGGGGGTGTGCAGGAGGCAGCTGATCAATGATTCTCTCTCATTGATGTTTCTATCTCTATATCCCTTTCCCTTCCTCTCTAAAATCAATAAAACAATATTTTATAAATATATATAAATATAGTTTCACATTGCAAAGAAGTCAGTTGAGTCATTGAAGATTGACTGAAAGGAATAAATATATCTTCGATGCTGCACTAACCTACTAGTTAAATAATAAATTAATTTTTAAAATTGGCAAAAGATTCTGACCAGACATTTCAACAAAGGAGACAAAGAGATTGTAAAGATTTGCTTGAAAAAGCATTCAACATAAAAATTTATTAGGGAAATGGAATTAAAACAGAGCAAGTTAAAACGATATTCATTTTTCTGACTATTATTTAAAAGATTAAACATCACATGTGCTGGCAGGTTTGTGGAAAGACTAGAATTTTCATTACTGTGGGTGGGTGGCAAGGCAGAGGGAATGACCATTTTTGACCACAGTTCTGCATATACTAACAGGTAAAATATTCACCTACACTGCATCAGTTTGATAAGTAGTACATACATCTATATAAAGAATTGCAGGCAATATTCCCAGCAGATTTATTTTTAATATCACAAACCTGGAAATAACTAAAACCATAGACAGACCAATAGGAAAAATGGTTATTCACAGAACACAGTATGACTCAGCCATGAAAAATAATTAACTATTCACATAAGCATTTGTGTTGAATCTCAAAATAACTGTGTAGCAAGAAGGAAAGCAATATTTGTATACCCCTTATAGTGCTTATGAAATTATGAAAAATATTAACGAATCTTAAAAAAATATTAACTAATCTTGTAAAGGAAGGAAAATCAATGACTGCATTTAGGGCTGGGGAAGGAAGAAGGAGAGATTACAAAAGGGCAGGAGGTAACTACAGGGTGTGGCACAAGTAGGTGTAGAGCTGTTGACATGGAAATTACTACAATAATTTAAAGATAATAAAAAATGTTCAGAAGAGGTGCTATTCACTTAATTCACTGCATCTTTTCCCATTCACTATGAATACAGGGTTTCTGCCCCAGTTGTAGTTCAACCTAACCCTCAGAATCTCAATACAAGCGACACCAGCCTATGAAATGTCATTCAGAACGGCACAGGGCACCTTGACAGTATGTAATACACATTGTGAACAGAGAATATAATTCACATTGTTCACAGAAGCACAACAAAGCCCCCCACCCCCATCTTCAGGATGACCTCAGACCCCAATCATAGGAGGCACCAGGCTGCAAATGAGAACCACCAAGTCATTCCGGCTTTCTTTCCAGGTCTTGGGCAGCACTGCATTACAAGTGAATATGGGACAAAGTGATTTTCTGACTCCACGCTTTGCCTTCGGGAGCACAGCAGGTTGGGGATTCCCACAATATCTGTTCCCCTGTACATGCTGACAGATCCCAAGTGCGCTTTCAAATCAATCCAGGCAATGAATAGGACCAACAAAATGAAAGGTACTAGTACATGAGCAAAATCACCTGGACAAAAATATCATAAACCAGAGACATGCTAGAAAATTCCATGAGTGTGCAGGTCAGTTAATTGGAAACTGAAACAATTCATCACAGCATAAGGTGAGAGCCACGATGTCCCTGAGAGAGGTAGTTCTTCTTAGCTGAGGATGGTTGCGGTGGATGAACCCTCAATCAACTCCATTTCCTAGTCAGAATGGAAAGAAGATCCTGCCAGGAGCTTGGAGTAATCACAGTTTGCTCAGTCAGAGGTGAGAACACAGAATTCCTTTTCCCTGACCACGCAGGGGCTGTGACTGAGGCACCCTGTTCAGGTGAGCCAGGTGGTGGAGGTGAAATCGCCTCAGCCAGGAATACTCCCAGTGATTTCAATCGGGTAGTAGGCCCGAGCAGCTTAGCAAGTGCCATGCAGTTATTTAAAGCATCACTTCTACTTGAAATTTTATGAGGAACCTAGGGGAGTCCATGTTGTGATAAAAGGGGTTTATGTTCTGTTAAATGTGTATCAAAGGGTCCCCTTCAGTGTTGTTATTGTCAATGAGAAAAAGAAAGTATTTGGAACACATTTAAAGCTTTCCTCCATTGTGAACAATCAGGTGTCTAAGGAAGTTCAATTTTTGGCTAAAACATTTCCCACATTCACTACACTCATGAGGCCTTTCTCCTGTGTGAACTCTCTTGTGCTTAAAAAGCTGACTATAGCATCTAAAAGATTTCCCACATTCACTGCATTCATATGGTTTTTCTCCAGTGTGAATTCTTTGGTGTTCAGTGAGGGTACGCCTTCGTCTGAAGGACTGCCCACATTCACTACACTCATACGGTTTTTCTTCAGTGTGAACTATCCTGTGTTCGCTGAGGTTACTCCTTCTTCTAAAGGACTTCCCACATTCACTGCACTCATAAGGTTTTTCTCCAGTGTGAACTCTCTGGTGCGTATTAAGGATACCCCTTTCTCTGAAGGACTTCCCACATTCACTACACTGATAAGGTTTTTCTCCAGTGTGAATTCTCCTGTGTTTAAAAAGGTGACCATGGCATCTAAAAGATTTCCCACAATCACTGCACTTATAAGGTTTTTCTCCAGTGTGAATTCTCTGGTGTTCAGTGAGGGTACACCTTCCTCTAAAGGACTGCCTGCATTCACTGCACTCATAAGGTTTTTCTCCAGTGTGAACTCTCTGGTGCTTAGTAAGCGTACACCTTTGTCTAAAGGACTGCCTACATTCACTGCACTCATAAGGTTTTTCTCCAGTGTGGACTCTCTGGTGTTCAGTGAGTTTGTACCTAAGACTGAAAGTCTTGCCACAATCAGTACAATCATATGGCTTTTCCCCAGTGTGAACTCTCTGGTGCTGATTAAGAACAGAGATATGCCTGAATGACTTTCCACTATCACTACACTCATACGCTTTTTCTCCACTGTGAACTTTCCTATGTCGAATGTGGCTAGAGATTCCTCTAAAAATTTTTCCAGATTTGTTACATTCACAATTCACTTCTCCCTTGCAGATGCTCTGTTGAACAACTTTCTGGTTGTGGCTGGCAGCATTATCACATTGACCCCACTGGTTATGACGTTTTCCACTGAGAAATTTCTGGGAAATCTCACTGCCATTGTGTGGCTCCTCAGTGTCGTGAGGGGCCTGGGGCTGGAGAAGCTCTGAGATGGCTCTCAAGTCATCCCCAACCTCCCTACTGGATAAGGGAAGCCCTGATAAGTAGAAGCTGCACCTGGTCACAAACGAGGCCCTGTCCACAGCTTCTTTCCCGGGCTTCTCTCCACTGGCTTCCCTCTGTTGCTGGTGAAGGTTTGCACTGAAACAGAAGTCTCTCACACGTGTGTCATTGAAGAAGGCTTTCTGTTCAAGGTATGCTGCCTGTGACTCAGTCAGGTGCACAATGTCTTTCAAAACAGAGAAACACCGCTTACACACATGGGTCCTCTGGGTTGCTGGCTGAGTTTTAGATGCCCTGATCTTTGACTCTCCTTGTACACATACACTCTGCGAAGAGCAAGCCTCCTCCTCATCCGTTTTATGCCAACAACCTGAAAACAGAGAAATGAGGAGGAAATGGATGTTGACTACGGTGATGAGGGACGTTCCATTACAAAAATATGTTGGACATCATACCTGCATTCCATGTAATTGTCTGAAAATAACAGATGTGCAGGCAGGATTTATAAAAGGCTCCTGTGAAGTTCTGGAACTCTGAATATCACAAAACAAGGAAAGCCTCACCAGAAATATAACACAAAGATGGCAAGCACCGCATGGAATCGAAGCAGGATCGTCAGCTCCTTCTTTTGCTATTAGTGTTCAGCAGGGCTTGTCTGCTGGTGACATGGGCAAGCTGTGCAGAAGGTTGCTTATGTCTTATTGCTAATAAAATTCAAGAGCAGTTGTTCTAGGACTACTTAAGCATGTATGTGCACCTCATAACACATGTGAAGGTCCATGTAGGACAATATTGCACAGGGAGCAGTGCCCACGGACAGGTGATGCAAAAAAGTGACAAAGGTGAAGGTGGCCAAAAGCCATGAAGTTACAGATGAAATGATCAGTCATCAAAATGTCAATAATGGTAAAGAAAATGTAGAAATAAGGTGTGGAAAAACGCATCTGCACCTAAATATGGTCAAACATAATCAGGTTCCTGGTCTGATCTGAAAGAAGCCCTCATGTGATACCTTCCCCCAGTTTCCACTCAGTAGGATCAGGCCTCATCAGAGACCATCTTGCCAGTTCACCCTGAGAACAAATACAGGGTTCCCAATTCACCTTCTACTCTATGAATACATAAAAACTAAATATTCAGAGAATTAATGAAATACAAGGGAGTTGAGCAGCCAGCACTAAACCAGAGCTATTCGGAATGCAATAGTATTCAGGGAAGGAAATATTACAAACAATTCAGGTAGGATGTTACAAGTACAGCTATGGTTCAAGTAAGTAAAGATGATAACCTGTCACAGGCTGTCACATGAGCCTTACCTAGATGAATGGTGCAGAAGTGGAAGCTATGAGGACATAGTCACCTTCCCAGGAAGAGAAATCACAAAGTGGGTCCCATTAAGCTCATTGCAAGACTCCTGACTCCCAGACACTTCTTACATTTTCAGAGGCAGCGGGTGTAAGGGATGCTCGGTGAGTCCAGAGCTCAGGACTCCCCACACAGCTCACCCCTGGCAGCCACAGCCCATTTGAAAGGACAGTGGGTGAAATTATTAGAGCCCATGGTGTGGCGGTGAGAGCTACGTTTGAAGAATAATGGAAGAGTAGACATCACCTCAGGACACTGGGACAAACGTGAAGGTCTTACCTGCAGATGAGACAAGTGCAAACACTTCCAGCATCACATTGCAGTAGAGAAGTCTCTGAGCCTCATCAAGGAGCCCCCACTCCTCCTCAGAGAAGACAATAGCCACATCCTCAAAGTTCATATTCTGTCAAAATGGGGACCGTTCAATCCATGATTAGCTTTTCTCCTAGGATTTCAAGTTCTTCATTCTTCCCACCCTCCCATCCATATGCTCACTCTATACTCCATCAGACAAGACAGCAGGCCTTTGGCCCATCAAAGTCACTCTCTCCTTACATTCTTACTGTTACTGGGTCTTCCCCTAATAATAAAGGCAGTTGAGCAGAGAGAAGATACCTAAGTTCTGGGACTCACGTGGAGGCCACACTTCCTCTTGTCAATACGGTCGGTGTCACCAACATAGGGAAGAGACAGTTGTTGGCCATAAAGAAATCAAAACAACAATGAGGTACCATCTCACACCTGTCAGAATGGCTGTCATCAACAAATCAACAGACGACAAGTGCTGGAGAGGATGTGGAGAAAAAGGAACACTTGTGCACTGCTGGTGGGAATGCAGACTGGTGCAGCCACTATGGAAGACAGTATGGAGTTTCCTCAAAAAACTGGAAATGGAACTCCCATTTGACCCTGTGATCCCACTTCTAGGAATATATCCTAAGAAACCAGAAACACCAATCAGAAAGGATATATGCACCCCTATGTTCATAGCAGCACAATTCACCATAGCTAAGATCTGGAAACAGCCTAAGTGCCCATCAGTAGATGAATGGATTAGAAAACTGTGGTACATCTACACGATGGAATACTATGCTGCTGTAAAAAAGAAGGAACTCTTACCATTTGCAACAGCATGGATGGAACTGGAGAGCATTATGCTAAGTGAAATAAGCCAGTCAATGAAGGAAAAATGCCACATGATCTCACTCATTCATGGATAATAGAGACCATTATAAACTCTTGAACAATAATAGATACAGAGGCAGAGTTGCCTCAAACAGACTCTTAAACTACAGCAGGAAGGCCGGGGAGGGTAAGGGGGTTGGAGGGGGGGGGTAA